CAGATCCTCCAGCAGAGACCGGTCCACCGTGGACAGACCCAGATCCTTCTTCACCTGCAGCCTTGGACCTGTAGTCGGAGCTCCGGAGGGAGGAGGAGAGCTCAGCTCCCGGCAGCAGCAGCGTCTCCTCCTCCTCCTCCTCCTCCTCCTCCAGGAGCAGAGCTTCTCCTCTCTGGGAGTCGACACCACGCTGCTGGAGACCCAGGACGTATTGCTGGACCTGCTGGAGGGAAGGGAGGCACACGGGAAGAAGAACCAGGACTGAGAGGGGCAGACTGTCAGACCCTGCTGCAGTAGAATGAGAGGTTTTCTAAAGAGACTCTGGTGCTCAGAGACACTACCACTTTAGTCCACAGGGGGCAACAGAACCAAGTTCCTTGCAGTAACATTAAAGTGATATAAAGGCCGTAGGACGTGTCACGTGAATCAGAATGTGCACGGCTGCATGTAAACGGGAATATTAGTGGAATATTGATTTTAAACGTATGTAAGCGTAGTCATCGTTGTCTGGTTGAAGTTACTTTTCATTTTGCATGTGTATCGTTCTATCCCCATACCTGTTCAAATCACCGTGTATTGATCCTCCCTCCATGTTGTCCTGGATTAGGGTCTGACCTCTCAGTAATCACAGTTGAGATCTCATGACTAGTTGTAGTTGTAGACTGACCTCTTGCTCCACTAACCCAGGATACCAATCCGTCTAATCACACGACCATCAGAGCGATTTAAAGTGTCGAGCTCGACCGCCACGTGACTCTGCGTTGTGTTTCTGTCTCTGTAGGAGCTGGAGTTGTGTCGCAGGCTCTATAAGCTGCACTTCCAGCTGCTGCTGCTCTTCCAGGCCTACTGTAAGCTCATCAGCAGGGTGGACACCATCAAGAGGGAGGCAGAGGTGAGAACAAAACATGCCCGAAATGCACTTTTTACATTTAGTTGGAGTTGTTGTTTGCCTTAAAATGTTCATGTTGTGAGAGAATCAAGAACAGACTAATTACATTTTATTACATCATGCTGTCAGAACACCGTCTTCCACAGATTGTCATAAAAGGTTTTGACATTAACGTTATACTTAACATAGATTAGCTGTAAGTTTTATTGTTAAATACAAGCAGAGCTGGTTTGTCTTTTAGCTACAGAATATTTAAAGAGACAGTAGTGATGTTCTGTAGTGTGGAGAAGAACCTCATACCAACACACTACTGTCCCTTTAAGACGTCGATTCCTGCGTCTTGCTGGAGCTTTCATTAGATTTGTGCCTCATGAAATTAAATCATTTCTAATGTGGAGCGATGGGGTCGGTGCTTCCAGTTAATACGTAGTGGAGGTTTATTTTGCACGTGTGCGCTGTAATATGCAGTGCAATGAGATTAACGTCTGCATGTCTTCTGTTTCTCAGGTGACCAACATGTCTGAAGAACTGTCCATCCTAGAGAGCTGCCTGAAGGAGGCAGAGACAGGAAGCAATGGTCAGGAGGACGTGTGCATGTCGGACTCTCCTCAGACCAACACGGAGTCGGCCATCCAGTCTCTGATCGAGACTCTGAGAGCCAGAGACTTCAGCTCTGCTCTCACACAAGTCAAAGTCTTTAGGTAAGAAGAACACTTCTGACTCTAATCAACGACCGACCAAAGATCATTCAACAAGTAACAATGAAGCATGTCAAGTGTTGCTGTTTACAGCTTTTTAAAATGTCAGTACAATCTCCTGCATATCCGTAAAATATATACGAGACAAAAACCTCCCAAAAATCTACTGTGATGCAGTTTACTGATATACAACGTTCTCTCTGTTGTCCTTGAGATGTAAAAGCTGCAGAGAAGTAGACGTATTTCTGCTGAACGTGTTTAACATCAGGACAGTCAGCGACTCAAAAAAACTGCAATGCACGCTGAACAGGAACATCATAAAACCCACTCCACATGACGGCGGCAGCACTAAAGCTTTGTTTATACTCAATGAACAGCATTATTCTCCTAAACTCAAGACAACGAGGGCAACTCAGAGATATGAACGTAGACTGTAGATGTAACCGACCTCCACTATGACGAGGGATTATAATTATCTGTAAACTCATATTCATAAACTACTTTATTATCTTTATAAAGAAAGAAGTCAAGTTTAAATATATTATAAAGAAACTAAGGTTGAATATCCTCTAAACTATTTTTATTTGGCTGCAAAATATTTACTCAAATGTAGATTTTTAAGGCTTCCTGTTTCTAAAACATCTAAAAGTGAAGTGACCTTCTTTGTATAATCCTCAAACGTGTAAATAGAGTTTTTATTCGTGAACTGTTTGTGTCACGTGATTCAGAGGTGCACATGCGCCTCTTGCTGGCTTCAGTATAAACCGAACTTAAGAGCACTACATCCTCCCTCCGCAGGTCTCTGTGGCCCAACGACATCTTCGGCAACGAGACGGACGACGCGGTCCAGACCCTGCTGCACATCTACTTCCGCCACCAGACGCTGGGCCAGACGGGCTGCCTGGCCGTGGTGGGTCCCAGCAGGGACCTCTCTCAGGCCAGCGGCCGCCTCACGGAGCTCAACCTGCAGATCCGAGAGGCTCTGAGTCGGGCTCAGGCCTGCCAGACCACCACCATGGTCAGCACTGGACTGTGAGAGCCGGTGGTTCTGGACTAGACTGGACTAATATTACCCCCCCGCTCTACACAGACCTCACCTCAGCTGTAGAGAGAGGGTAGACAGCGAGGGGCTCCAGAGGAGGACCAGAGACTCCACCTAAAGGGCTAACGGATGAGTGGGAATAACTGACTCTTAATATATATTATTACGTATGAATGCTTAAAGCGAACATCTTCTCCCGGACGAAGCCAACGTGCAAAATTCAGTTGCAATAAGTCGTGTGGTGGTTTTGTGGGAGAGGACGCAGTGGGACGAGAACTTTTATTTTAGTTTCTTTTAGTTTCTTTTTTGCTGGATTGAACCTGATGGTCCGTCACACCGACCTCCTCCTCAGAGAGGGGGGGGGGGGGGGTATAGCAGCATGTAAACCGGTCGTATGTGGGAGGACACGCCCTCAAGATTCATGAGCAACATACAAGAGAAAGAAAATCTAAAATCTTGTTTAAGAAGTTTTCAACAGCATGCTTGAAAGAGGAAAACAAAAAAGAAAAAGCACTGCAAGAATATTTTTTTGAGAAATGTATTTTTTATTAGCGCTAACATCCTAGGCTGTAAAATGTTAGGATATGTAACATTGTAGCCCTGTGGGACACGTTTCAAGCCTTTCAGGGAGTGTAAAAAGAGAAATATATATAAATCTGTTTATTGATCTCTGCGCAAAAAAACAAACTCACTCTTTAACCAAATAAGTAGCTGCCTTTAGAGAGTGTGTGTGTGTGTGTGGTTCTACACCACTCACACACACATAGACTGGCTACAAGTCATTATGGAAACATAACTTATTTTACTCTGTATATATTTTAGAAAATGTATAGTGTAAAACCAGTATTTTTTCCCCCCCGTTGTACTTTTGTGTAATGCACTGTTCATCCGCGTAGGATGTCTGTATAAAGCTCACGTGATGAGAGAGAAGAGTCTTTGATGATCCGCTCCGCCTTCCTCATCCATTCACACTTTCCCAAAGGCTGCCTCGGTTGGGTTTGGTTGTGGTCGGTCGGGGGGGGGGATCTAATGACCGCACCAACCCAACCAAGTCATATGCATTCCTTTTTCCTCCACTGTGATCCGCTTAAACCCTCACGAAGAGGACTGACTTTTTGTTTGTTTTTGATCACGTTGCAAAGCAGCCCCTCCTATTTTATTGTTTTTGTCTGCGGGGGGGGGTAGATGTAGTGGTTGAAGCGTTGCCGCCTCGTGCTGCTGTGACTTTCATTATCTGAAGGCTTTCTGGAGATCTTGTCATGGCACATTGTAACACGTCACTGTACTCATTCCTCAGCTTTGTTCCCCTGCTTGTCTGGTACATTTTGAATGCTGTTCTTAATTATTTAATGAATATATTATTTACCTGGAAGATGTTTTAATGTAGAGGTGCATTATACATTTCTTTTGTTTTTTCTTCACTCACATACCAGCCTTCTCTCTGGATAAATAAAAAACTAATCGGTTTGAGCTTGGTCTTAAAAGTGCTTTCTTCTGGAAGGTTTTGGAATAAGATGTAACATCTGTCATGAAACGCCACGAAATTAAGATACAGGTGTTCAGGATCTCACATCGCAAAATATTTAACAGCATGAACAGAAAATATGCAAGTGGTTGGCCTCCAACATTGTGCAGCAAGTTGCCTGCTTTTTATTTTGGGTGTCATGAAAAAAGGAGTTAAATTCTTCCAGCCGAGTTCCCTCTACACCACACGTGTCAAACTCGAGGCCCGCGGGCCGAATCCGGCCCGCCACGTCATTTTATGTGGCCCGCGAATCCACCAGCAAAAAAAACAAAATAGTTAGACTTGAAAATAAAAGTATCCCCATGGTCGAGATTATGAGACGGCATGTTGTCTGTGTACCGACATTAAAACTATCACAACAGGTGGACAGGAGAGGGAACAGCCCGTAAAGAGGTTTCCCAACAAGTGATTGAGTTGAAAAAGATCAACAAATAATCCCAAAATGTCCACGAAGAGAGAAATTGATGCAGAGGGAAGAAGATGTAATTTAAGATGGGAAAGAGAATACATGTCTGTGCTTCAGGGAGGAAAACGGGTCTGTCTTCTGTGTTATGATGCGTGTCGGTGATGAAGGATACAATTCACGTCGGCATTTTGACACCAAACACGGAGCTAAATTTAGCCTCCAAGAAAAACAGCAAATTGTCCAAGAATTAAAAGGCAGAGTGCAATCACAGCAGAATATATTTACAGAAGCTACAGCCCAGTGCACGCTAAAGGTATGTGAGCAGGTGAGCTCCGACCAGATACAGACTTTTACAAATGTCAGTTTGTGAAGAAACACCATCGCAGACCGAGTTCAGGAACGAGCAGCAATCTAACAACACAGCTAGCTCAGAGACGAGCAGGCACTCGGCTTCTTCATTAGCTGTTGATGAAAGCACAGACAACACGGACACAGAGCATCCATCCATGTTTATAAGACCTGATCTCTGTGAGGAGATCTCGGATGTAGCTGCCATGCACGGGACATTAGTGATGCAGAGAGGTGACAATAGCTTTGAACAAAGTTAATGTCATAACTTGTTTGATTTGTCTGTTTTCTTTAAAAGTTTGATCTTTGATCGAGTTTAACCCTAAATTTAAGTTTATAATGAATGTGCTTAAATATGATTTTACATTTATATAACTGCATGTACAATATTTTTACACTTGAATAAACAATCAAATGCAGAGTTATGTTAGGGAGTCGTTACATTTATACAGTTACAACCGGCCCTTTGAGGGAAACTGATGTGGCCCGGAGTAAAAATGAGTTTGACACCCCTGCTCTACAGTGTTGATCGTCTCACATTTTATACGGTTCTCCAGTTATTGGAATCTTGCTTCCCCTCCGGAGCTCAGTACCCGAGACCTCCAGCTGTTATGCATCCACAATCACCAATCGCACCATTTGAAGTTATCTGGTTCCAAACTTGCATCTCAACTGAAAGTATTTCAAAACCGTACTCTGCCTTTAAATCTTAAAGTTCTCCATTTCCTGAAACAAGTCGTTTTGTCGATTCTTTGAAAAGTCTCTTAAATATTCAGTTCAGTTTCCCACCCCTCTGATATATAATATTCCATATTTTCTATCTTAAATGCTACTCTGGGTCCATAACACGTTGTTAAAGGCCCCCTAAACCCACCAGCGAGATCAGAGTCCCAGGCGTGCTGTTAATCCTGAACCACAGACCTGAGCTTAATGTAAAGCTCTGATATTTGAATATTTTAGTTCCACTTCTGAAAGAAAGGCGTCAGTACAGAGTGCAAGGTAGCCATTTATTACATTGCAAAATTGTGTGGTGCTTAAATCCATCAACACAAAACAGGCATGAAATAAAGTTTTGAAACAAATGGGTTTTTTGTGCAAACAAAGTGGAATGTTGTCTTGAAAGTCTCCTAGATGATGTACTTGAAGCTGAAGGTGCTCTCGCAGGACAGACGCTTCCCTTTGCATCTGCCGCACAGGTCCTGTCTGTGAGGCCGTTTGGGGTCCACGTGGCGCTGCGTTACGGCGCACGAACAGCGCGCTTTGTTGCAGGTCTGGGAAGAAGAAGAAGAAAGTCTTGGTTTAGTCGTGACACAGTTTCAGCTCACAGAGCGAGTTAGAGACGCGCTTACGTGACACGTGATGTCCTCCACGCGGTACGGGTTGAAGTCCTTTTGGCATTTCCTACAGAACTGTTTGAAGTAAACCTGGAACACAACGTGCTTCAGTTAGGTCTGCTGCGAGAGGTCATGAATAAACAATACATAAAGATCAGCTCACCTTGTTGGTGCCCTGAACGCACCACACATAGGCGCTCTCCCATCGCAGGTTGCATCCTCTGCAGTGATAATATCCGTACTTCTGTTCCAGGAACTGACGGGACGAGAAGGCAAAAGTCAGGGAGTCGGTTCACTCTCCGCCTCTAATGTTAGTCGATTAATCAGTTCAACTAGTTAAAGCTCGGGTCGTCTTTAAGGCTCACACAGTTTGTAGATAACAGCCAGATGTTGATGATCTACAACATCTGCCTGCTTTTGTCCTAACTTCTGATTTCGGACGTTTTGGAAAAAACTGATTTAATCTTAAAAGCATCGGAACTGAAATGAGTGACCATCTGCCACATGCTGACGTTAGTGAATGATTATCTTAATTAGATTTACTTATTAAAAAAGTTAAAGTGTGTCTGAATCAGGAGACTTTCATCTCCCAGTAAAAGCTCCAAAGCTTCAGGGTCTCTGAACACCTGAGCAAAGTTACCTCATAATATCTGCAAGTACATTTTGACAGTTTAAAATGACCAATGTTCTGGTTAATTTACCCTTTTGGGGACTCAATTATATACAGTGCATTGCCTTCATTTTTAGTTTGTTCTTGAAAATTTTGTTTTGTATAAATATTTATTTCATCAAGTGAAACTGCAGAGAAGAGGCCATCAATGCTATCTTTAGTTAAAACAAAAAGGTATTTATTAAAACTTTTTTAAAATTATAAATGTAGTAAATAATATTTTTAATAGTTATTTATGTATAACTTTTTATTCAATTATATAGTTTAAAATGTTTATATTTATGTGTATTTAAACGTTTCTTCAGATCATGTTTGCACATTTTTATGTTTTTTTTTTCTTCCTTGATCACGTGACGAAACTCACCTGGAACCGCACGCGCGCCTTGCCCTTTGACCCCTCCGCAGTGAGCAGCAGCTTGTCGCTCTCCACGAGCTTGGACTTGTCGCGTGGCTCCCGGAGCTTCGCGGTCTTTCCATCGCGTTTCCCCGCAGAGTCCGGCGGGTCACCGGTCTGCGTGTCACCGCACGAGGCCTCCTTAATGTCGTTGTTGTTGTTTTCATCGACCAGGAAGGAGGTGACGCTTCTGTAGGCGATGGGTGAATACACCGCGAGGGTGCGCGGGTACCGCACACCGCCCGCCGCGTTGGGGCTGCCGCTTCCTCCGCCGTAACTGCCGCCGCCGCTTCCGGGCTCCTGCTGCGTCCTGCGTCGGGAGTCCCGCTTCCAGGCCAGCAGGGTCCGCGGGCCGATGGAGCACTGCACCGTGGCGTCTCTCCGCGGGTTCACCTGCACCGACACATCCTTGGTGTTGGCCTTCCGGAGCCTCGGGGTGAGTTTGGGGTTGATCTGAGATAAGATGGACTTCAGCTGGGCGCGCTGGTGGTTGTTGAACGCGTCCGAAGAAGTGTCCGCGTACTGGGACAGGTAGCTTTTATACTTCCACCCCGCGTCTTTGGGCCGGGGGTGTCTGTAAGATGAATAGAAATAACTGTCTACTGGCTCCTCACCATACGTTGCCATTTTTGCTCAACCAACCAGAGCCGCAGGTGAATCTATTTAAGTAGATTTGGGCAACACGGGCTCCTCTATTAGGTTAATTAAGGTCAGGTGTTCGTGGACCAGAGGTGGGCACGTGGAAGAAGATGAACGGAACAAGTGGAGATTAAAATATTATGTTAAAATTATAAATATATATTTATAAACAGATAACAGATTATACTTTTTTTTTAAATATTTATAATTTTAACAGATTATAAAAAATATTTATAATTTCAATATAAATAAATATTTATAATTTTAACAGATTATAAAAAATATTTATAATTTCAACATAAATAAATATTTATAATTTGAACAGATTATAAAAAATATAAATAAATATTTATAATTTGAACAGAGGTTAAAGGAGCTGGATAGGATAGACTAAAAACATGTTTAGGAAAGTGGTTTGATGCTGAAGGCTCACCTGGAATGTACATATTGATAATAAATAGATGTTAAAAAGGTTTTAAATGTGATGAGACTGTTTGGTGGGAACAGAGTGAGGAGCTGGTCTGCTCTGAAAGCTAAATATATGGTTATATAATATAAAATACCTTCTGGATTATGGTGTGTATACAGGTCTAAAAACCTCGTTGGGAATACTGGATGCTCAAGCATCACAGGTAAAGAGCCTGAGACCTTCAGAACAGTAATAATAATAATCACGTGACTTGATGATTGATCTGTTTGCATGTGAGATGATAACCGTAGTTATTGCTTTATAATCTGTGGAGGACGTCAGCGTTTTAATATCAGATTCATGTTCAGCATCAATGAGCAGAGAGAAGAGTTATTGTTTGAAAAACTACAATCACTATTCAGAATCCATCAAACGCAGCTCATGTTGGAGGATGAGCAGCAAAAAGAAAAAGGGTCTTTGAAGAGTTGGATTAATAACTGTAATGTAAATATAAGTAGTGTTAAAGGGACACATCAAAATAGATGTAGATACAAGAAAGTACAGGAAGATATTTAGTAAAAGTAAACCCTTTGTTTGGGAATGTTGGATTATAAGAAGACGAAAGTCCTTCTGGTCTTAACAGTGTTATTATAAAGAATAATAACGTAAAGTGTGAAGTTATGTGAAGAAGTAGAAACTGGATTATGTTTTGTTGTTCTGTCAGAAGATTCAGCGAGAGAAGTTTTAAAAAATGGAGATTGGAGAGGAAGAAAAAAAAGTGACAAATGTTGAGAGTATTTCGGGTCAACAAGACTAACGTATTAAAATTAAAGATTTTATTCATTATTATTTTCCATTTGTTTCCTCTTGTTTGTTTAATTATTTAGTTTTCTTTGCTTTGTTGTTGGATTAAAACACATGAAAGCTGTTTGCAAACCGCCGTTTAAAAGAAAAGCAGCAGCAGAGACTCGTCACAAAGGTATGCACGTTGTTTTACTTTTCTTTCTTTACACATTTTTATTTTGTTGACACAGTTGTTTATAATATACACATATTGTACATTTTGTTCAGACAGTGTTTGAAGCTCTGCTCGTCTGTGATGATTTATTGATGAATGAGACTTTCACAGGTTGAAGTTGAGCTGATGAGCAGATGTTTACAGGTAACGAGGGCTCAACTCTCTGAGTCGTTTTGTTCATCGTCGACTTACATTTGTTTTGTCGATTTGTTGTTTTTTAGGCTTTTTTCATGCTAAATAATTTATATCTAACAAATCAATGAACACATTTATGAACTCTAGATTTAAAGCTTTTGTGTGATTCTTTGTTGAGTTTTACAGATCTGTTGTTTTGTTCTTAGCCGACTAAAGTTTCTTTACTCGATTAGTCGTTTTTATGTGTTTTTCCTCACAAATGACTTCCAACAAATGAATGACCACATCTCTGGTAAACAAAAGATTTAAAGTGCTGCTTCTGTGTGATTCTTTGTGGAGAAACTCGATTATTAGTCGAGTTATCGTCGTTCTGTTCTCAGTCGACTAAGATTTCTTTAGTCGATTAGTCGTCTTTATGCTTTTTTTATTCTAAATACTTATTTCCAACAAATCAATGAACACATTTATAAACTCAAGATTTAAAATGGTTCTTTTGTGGGATTCTTTGTGAAGTTTTACAGATCTGTTGATTAAATCAACTCATCGATTAGCCGTCATAATTGGTCGATAAGTGTTGGTCGACTAAGAATTTATTTTCTCCAGGCGACCAACACTTCCAGGAAACACAGCGATGTTTTAAAACATTAATGATGTTTTTTTTGTTGTCAAACTGAATGCATAAAGCTGGATGACATTAAGCACCGTCCCAGCATCGTCTCCCTGTTCTCCAGGTTTGTCTTCATGAATGACAGCGATCATAACGGTGGATCCACTTGCAGGTTTCACTCCCCCCACATCTGTAGTGGTCTGCACATCAAACAGGAGTGGGATCGGGAGGACAGGGGTCCAACATGATGGTGTTCGGGTCGCTCACCGCCACGGCACCGTAAGACGAGTCCATGTCCTCGTCGTCCTGAAACCTTTGATACGTCATGCCCGTGTCCTCGCCGTCCCCCATGGGGTCCGCTTTGTGCAGGACCTTCTTCCTGTACATCCTGTAGGCCAGGATGAAGATGCCGGCCTCGGCCGCCTGGAACAGGGCGTACAGCAGAGGGAACATGTACATGCCTCCCATCAGCTGGGGGGGGAAGGCCAGCTTCAGGATGGCGGTGCACAGCTGCACGTTCTGGCATCCCGTCTCCAGAGAGACTGACCGGCAGCTGCTGGGCGGCAGGTCGAAGAGCACGGCCAGGCCGTAGCCCGCGGCGTAGCCGCACAGAGGCATCAGGATGGCCACCACGTAGACGGAGGGCGGGATGGCGGACAGCAGCTCCGGGCCCAGCATCGCTCCAGTCAGGATGAACAGCATCACGAGGGTGACCAGCAGAGACCACAGGGAGACCTGGAGACACAGAGGAGCTCAGCACTGAGGTGGTTGTCTGACCCGAGGTCAGCTGTTTTCTGCTGGAGGGAAACTTATACCTGTCGTCATGGAGGGCAATGGCTTTCTCTTCTTTTTACATGCTACTATTGTATACATTTTCTTTTTATATACTATAAAAAATGTTTACTTCTTTCAACGGACTATACTATGATTTATTTCGACTTACTAAAGTATTCCATTTTTTTCGACACACTATACTATGTTTTTTTCACTTTGATGACCTTACTGTGACTTCTTTAGACCTCTACTATGTCTTTTGTCAACATAATACCATGACTCTTATGACTTTTTTGTTTTTTGACATGCATAGTATGACTTTCATTTTTTCTTTACGACATGCTATACTATGAGTTTTTTATGATTTTTTTCGACATACTATAATATGAATTTTTTCGACATGCTATACTATGACTTTTTTCGACATACTATAATATGACTTTTTTCGACATGCTATAATATGACTTTTTTCGACATGCTATATTTTGACTTTTTTCGACATGTTATACTTTGACTTTTTTCGACATACTATAATATGACTTTTTTCGACATGCTATAATATGACTTTTTTCGACATACTATACTATGACTTTTTTCGACATGCTATAATATGACTTTTTTCGACATGCTATATTTTGACTTTTTTCGACATGCTATAATATGACTTTTTTCGAMATACTATAATATGACTTTTTTCGACATGTTATACTTTGACTTTTTTCGACATGCTATAATATGACTTTTTTCGACATGTTATACTTTGACTTTTTTCGACATACTATAATATGACTTTTTTCGACATGTTATACTTTGACTTTTTTCGACATGCTATAATATGACTTTTTAGGATTTTTAAAATGTACTATACTTTGACTTTTTTCTACATATTATACTTGGACTTTTTTAGGATATTTTTTTTGTGACAAACTATACTATAATCTTTCAATGACAAGGACTTTTTTATTACGTACTTTACTCTGACTTTTTTAATGCCATTTATACTATGCCATTTTTTGACTTTTTACGTATTTTTATGACATATTTGGGAACGTGATTATAATATGCGAACATAATTACAATTTAAACTTTCTAAACGTAGGGGTGAAGTCTGCATCAAGGCATCACTGCTGCCCAACGTTACAGCCTGTTGTAACCATGGTTGTAGCTGTTGTGGCCCTCCCTCATATGTGGCTTTTATCAAATAGGGGGGAGGAGCTCTTCCGGACACAGTGCCTCTGATGTCACTGTTCCTGCAGTCTGCATCCCCTTCTACTTATGACAGGAAAATTACGCAGTGCGCTTTTGGTCAAAGGTGCCTCCTTAACTGAAAGTACACACGGTCTAAAATAACCTCAATTTAATTATGTAACAAATTCAGCTCATTGATTAAATGGAAAAGTAACTTTGAGAGACTTCTCTTAAATTACCTTTAAAACAATGTCGGCCACGCGCGTGTAGCGGTACCTCAGGATAACTCCTAAACCAATGGGGATGAGAGTGCTGCACAGGGTCAGGATGATGGCCCCGAAGGGCATGAGGTTGACCACGGGTGTGTTGATCCAGGCCCGGCTGTAGATCCACAGACACAGCGGCATCAGCACGAGCGCCAGCAGAGTGGAAGAGATGGTCATGACGATGCTGGGGAGAAGGAGAGCAAAGACGCACCGTTTACACCATGCATGTGGTGTTTGGTCACAATGTTGAATCTTTTTTAAGTTTGACAGGAAAGACTCATTGAATTAAGGGAAGCGTGTTGAACTTGTAAGTCGTGCGTAATGTTGTACCAAAGTCCCCGTTACTTCAGTGCGTAATTTGCGGAATGAGACGCGCAAAACGTAGATCAACCTTGTGAAATCGTTTTGTTTTTTACCGTTCCACTTCATAACTCACTGTGTTGTTTCTGTAGATTAGTACAGTATACATACCTTAGATTCATCTCCCCGTTCACCAGCAGAGACATTATATTTGATAAGTTTCCTCCCGGGCAGCAGCCACAGAGGAGAACAGCCATCGCCGCCACATCGTCCAGAGAGAAGGCTAAAGCCAACAGAAAGGCCACCAAGGGCATGATAACAAACTGACACACCAGTGCCAGCAGCACCCCGATGGGCCTGCGGATATGCTCCCCGAGCTGGCTAACCTCCACCGTGCAGCCCAGCCCCAACATGGTGAAGCAAAGCACAAGTCCCACAAAGACATTGATTCCGTGGCTGAGCGGGGAATCCCAAAAGGCGGGCATCAGGTGAGGGGATTCCGTCGGCGGAGCGGCCATAAACTCAGCTCCGGCGACAGTCCTGAATGCGCTGGCTTCGCGGAAGATGGCCACTAATCCCGCCATGGCAGCGTCCTTTGGAGAATCCACAACTTGCTTCAAAGTGTCCGGCATAAAGTCCATCAAACCAGCATTCTGTGCGTCGCCGCCCAACAGGCTGGAGTTCTCCATGGCGCAACAGGAGAGGCAGAGGCTCGTGCGTAAAATGATTCCCTAGTGGCGCACTGGCACTAATGAGAAACAGCGCTCAGTGGTCGGAGGATGTGATGGTGCCATGGCACTGATAGCCTTAAAGTGACTCTCAGAGACAGACTGGTCCCACGGATTGGCTCCCACCTATAGACGCACACAGCTGGAGGGGAGCCTGCACACGGTCTAAAGCCTCAGCGAGAAAGAGAGTGGGTGGGCCAATCAATAACGCACAGTCTGCCCTTTTATACTGCGCTCCGCTCCGTAATAAGGAGAAAAGGTCCCCATGAATATCAATCCAATTATTACATATTTAGTTTTCCATTTAGGAAATAAAACCCGGCCCAATAGATTGTTCTCGCTCTATCTTCTGTAGAATTATGAAGACCAGAATGTAGACACATGGGAACTGGAGCTGTAGTGAAGAGGTTAAACACAGTCTAATGAATGAAAAGTGTGCTGATCTTTCTACACTAGTGCAGCGAACTGTGAACATCTGCGCCTCGTCTCAAACGTTATAGTGGCGCGAGGCTCACGTTTAGTTTTAGTAAAGCTTGTGACAGGTTGGCGGCCCGCAGTAATGCATCATGATGCATGTTTAGGGGTCTCTGCTCTGTCTGCAGTCCGCAGATCCTCCGAGATGAAACTCGCGTGGAGCCCCGCGGTGCCAAACGGAAGATGAGTGACTGACGTCATATGTCTTCATGGCACCGGGGCGGTGACTCAGGCTTCCATCTGCCTCCTCCCCTCCTGCCCCTCCCCGGAGACACATCGTGTGCCCCCCCCCCCCCCCCCCCCACCCCCACCATTGACCAATGGGGGACTCCATGCTACGTAATGCAACAACTGTGTGTGCAGAATATAAATGTGTCACCTTCCTCTTAAAAGCTGCTTTATGACACTGAAACACGAGAAGACGGATATAAAGTCTGTCATTGACGTGACGTCACTTTCATCAGGCGGGTCAGATGTTTTAATTGGATCAAACACTTTGTGATGCTGCGCTATAAATACACTGAAGCTGGTTATTTCATTACTGAATTTAAGAAAAAGCAGCTTGATGGTCCGATAACGGAAACAATGTAACAAATGTTCTTTCATGTGAGACTCAGTAAGATTATAACTCTGCGCTCTTATTACTGTCTCAATGACAGACAGGCAGACAAGACGTTTACACATCTATTTTCCATTCATATATTTATTTGCATTTTTTTTTTCCATTTATAACATTTTTATATATATTTATTTATTCTATATATTTAAGTTTTTATTTTAGGTTTTATTTATTTTTGTTTATTCTATATATTACATTATTTATATTTTACATTGATGTATTTATTTGCATATTCTTTCATTTATATTTATATATATATTTATTTATACATTCTATACATACAT